AGTACTCCCATAAGAGTCATCCCGGAAGGCTCCTGTACGAGTAATAAAATAACGTCTCTACNAAACATCCCACATTCCTCCCTAACGAGTAGTAAGGGAGTACTCCCATAAGAGTCATCCCGGAAGGCTCCTGTACGAGTAATAAAAGAACGTCTCTATACTCCCGAATTCCTCCTCATGGAGTAATGGAAGACTACTCCCACATTGCTCCATAACGAGCATTTTACATAAGCTAAAAAGATTTTGCTTTTTACGCAATTCATTTATTTAATTTTTTAATCATATACATATATACACACTTATGCACATAAATACAAGATTTAAGCTGATTATTACAAAAACAGAAAAAAACATAAATAATTATTATTACAATATTAACTAAAATTAGAAAACGGATATCGAACAGTAATGACAAACTCAAACATTATACATACATACATATATACTTTTATACAATCCACAAGATAAGTGTGGCGAGGATGATTTCCTGGAAAAGTTATTTAACTTGTATTCACCCGGGAGTGGCCCAAACTATTCACGCCTTGAAAAATTTCCGGCTGTACCCAGTAAGTTTTATGGGCGGGGCAAGATTGCAACGCTAGAACGTAGACGCCTTTATTGCTGGCCCCGTAATCTGAAATATATTTTGAGTTAAATAATACAATCATTTATAAGTTTAAACAAATGCTATCATAACTACCAGCGGCTCTAAAGATTTGCTCTCCAATTAATTTCATTGTTTCCTGATTTAAATTTTTCAATAAGAAATACATATGTATATAAGTATGAATGTACACATCAGTTATCTGTTTTGCTTTCTTCATACATTTTCCAAAAACACAAAATTATGTTGAAGAAGGTGCGTATAGCTCTCCTATCAATTAAAAAGAATACTCCTGGATTGCTCGCTTAGGAGACATCGATTTTTGCTCCTAAGCGAGTAATAACGGAGTACAAAACCAACAAATCTCGCTTATACCTCCGAAATCATGTATCCCGGAGGATACTTTTATTGCTCACTTGGAGATCTCCCATTATACTCCCAAGTGAGTAATACAGGAGTGCAAAACCGACTAATCTCGCTTATTGCTCCCAAATCATGCCTCAGGGAGCATTCTTTAATTGCTAGCTTAGGAGATGTCCCTATTGACTCCTAAACGAGTAATAAGGGAGTAAAAAGTCCACAAATCTCTCTTATTGATCCGAAATCAGGTCAAGGGGAGTACTCTTTTATTCCTCACTTANGTGAGCAAGTTTTTAATTTTTTATATGCACAGCACACGTGTGTGAGCGTAAAATGTTAGGATGTGCTGCGCATGTGTGTGCAAATACGAACCCTGCCTTACATATAAGAATTAACCGAATACTTCAACATCTAAAACAAAAGCAAGCCCACGCAAGTTTACAAAGACATATCAATTTTAAAAATCGGCCGTCAAATAACCAAGTTACAACGAAAAAACCATTTCGGCTGTATTTCGGAGGGTTAAAAAAAAAAAAAAAATTTTCCAGAACCCTCTCAACATAATCTTTAAATTTAGGGGCGGACATTAGCAACTTTTTTTTTTTGTATGGGGACCGACCCAGTCTATAGGTCATGCCAGCTGACACGGTATACGATTTTACGTCGGGTGCTTGGTTAGGCTCGAATGTTTATCTTTCATTAATTTTAAAAGCAACTTCCGCCACCAATTTTTCACCCCATACGAAATTTAGCTTTTCCATTGTTGCCTTCTACATATGACAAAATCCATGAGGTGTATGAACTATGCTTTTTTATTATAAAGCGTCATTCCAAACCCATTTTTCCCCGATTAACTCCAAATAAAAAGATTCTCAAACTCGCATTTCATCAATGAGGAAGTATTTAATTCTTGCAGTCTTTACAAACAAATGCAAATTAACAAATTAGCTAACAGTAATACTGTCGTTCTATAAAAGCCCCACACCCTGCCATTCCCTGAAATCACCTTTCGAATCCAATGCAAATTAGAATATATATCCGTATACAGACTTGGGTATTTGTTTTGGCCGCAGCCGAGCGTCCAAGAAACTAAAGCCACCAATTTGTCATTACAAATAAGTGGACCGCCTGCATCACCACGACAAGGATCATGATCGAAGTTTACATTATCGCCGGCACACAAGTCGCCTGCAGCGAAATGCGGATGGCTTCTCTTACATTCATCCTCAGTGTAGAGTATGAGCTCGACATGTGACACCATTGCGGCAAGCGGACCTTTCTTCGAAAGTGGATCAAGTAAGAGATGAGAACCATATGAATACATACATACATTTGTAAAGTACTTGCGTGCAAACGACTACTTACATAATAAATCCTCCCCCAACCGAGTACTACGCACCGTGATCCATAGGGCGGTGGCGTATTTGGCAACGGCATAATTTGTGTGCGTGCGTTTAGCTGAATTTTTGTTTTTAAACGTAGCAATGCTATATCGTTGCTACCATAGAGCGTAAAATTGGGATTAGAAATTACACGATCGACTGCTATTAAGCTTGTTGTTGGACTCTTTTCTATGCGATTCTCTGTGCCGGCCACTACAATAATTGAGCGTGGACGTCGGGGAATTTTCGATGCGCTAAATTAAATGATACGGAATTATTTTCTTCTTTTAGTCCATCATTAGGAGATCTACGAACTGTACTGCGCATTGTGCCGATGTGAGTATCCATAGGGGGCTGATAATGATGCCAGCACAATAATGATTATCGCCAAAATAACGAGTCACCGTGCGGGAACGCAATGACACCATGTATCGGGTATAGTTTTGAATTTCTGGTATGCGTTGGCCTCCGGCTACAAGGAAGATATAATCACCTGGGTGGCCTGTGTGATTTGCAATCGATGCGCAGCGGGGTAATAAATGAACGAATAAAATAATCACATAATATTTGTTCGCGGCAAACATGGCGTTGACGATCGGAATGAATGTAGCTATTAAAGAGAATGTTTGTAATTTATTTTAAATTATATTTCTTTTAAATGACAATAATTGAACAAGTCAAAAAAAAAAAATG